GTTTTCGCTCATTCTCCTGTAAAAATATTCAGATAAAATAAAACCTCATAGTCCAGTCAAATATATAAATTAATGACCCAAACTCTGAAAGTTTTTAAACTTAGCACATATATTTCTAGGTACCTAGGGAAGACTAAGTTATACCAAAAGTCCCCATAAATATAAGGTGAGCTTTAGTTGCAATTAGCAAAACAGGGTACATTAAGCTAGGCCTATGTGTTTTCGGCTAAAATCTCAAGAAATGTTTGTCATAAGTTAGCTAAAAGTGACAAAATCTTTCATAGGCTACCAAATAAAAGATTTTGAAATTTCCAAGAAAAATTAAATTTACATTTTTAAGTTATATTATTCCTAATGGTAACAGAGTTATAGGGTGCTAAAATATGGCATTTTTTCTCAATCTGTCTAATTTATAACTTACTTTAGTTTGCACTGTTGTTCCAACCCTGACAGTTTGAGAAAATACGCCATATTTTAAAGCTCTATAACTCGGTAAACATTGGGAATAAAATAAAAGTGTAGGCCTAACTGTCATTTTTGTTGTAAGTTTTATGATTTTTCATTTGGTATACAACCAATTTTATCATCAACCAATGGTGTTCGAGATTTTAGGAAAAAACCAAAAAGGTGCCCTTAACAGTTACTTATTTTCTCAAATTGCCGGTAGAATTCGCTTCATATTTATGGACATTAGCCTATTTGGTATCATCTTCCCTAGGTACCTAGAAATAAGTGTACAAAGTTTAAAAACGTTCGGAATTATTTCGAAAGTAAAATATTTTTTTACTGGACTATTGGTCTTGGTTAATAACTTATTCTAAATGTCACACACTTGCTACTTTCTTCCACGACCAATATAATTAAATTATAAATTTTATAAATAACGGCCGCCGGCAACGGAACCACAAGAACAAAACTATTGTGGAAGAAGAAGAACACGCCAGTAGAGAAATGAGTCAGTAACTCCGGAGTGAACTACTCCGACTCCGGAACGACAAATCCAACTCCGGCTTCAGGATTGGAGTTTTAGTTCCTTTCGGAACTAAAGATAGTCAAGAGACACGGCCGCCTTTAAAGGCGGCCGTGCAAGAGACCGTTATTGGTTAAGGTTAAGATGCATTATGTAATAAATTTGAGGTTTTTAGCGAATTTCCCTATAGGGAAGTAGCTATTACCGTAGGTGGCATGGTAAGACCTAGACCCGGGACCGATATACTTTTTCATTTTGGTGTCCCTAAAGGCCAAAAACACTATTAGTTCAAATTTTTATATATGTATATATATAGACTTATTTATATATATATATACGTCCGTGAACGCGAACTTGAGTAATTTTTGTTCGATTTTGATGAAATTTGGTTTAAAGGTGTAAAGCGGGATAAACTTGAATGAGTTCGCGAACCAGCACGATCGGACCATGGGAACGGGGCTTTACGGGGGGTTTTATGGGGTAAAAATTGGGTTTTCTCACTTTTGACCCTCAAAACACTAAATTTCCCGATTTATCATTAGACCTTTTAAAGAGCTTTAAAAAACAAATAATTTAGTATATAAAAGTATTTTTGTTCGATTATAAGTAATGGAGAAAATTTAAAAAATTGTAAATTTAAAATTCCCATGTTATTCTTATGGAGAATATTGTCAAATGTTGTAGTTTGCTTGTTTATGGATATATTTTTATCAAACTTGGCAAATTTATTTATTTTGTACTAAGCTATCAATATTTTACTAAAAAACACACTTTATTAGTTTCCTTGTAGCAGAAAACCTAGGTACTCGTTAAACCTAATGTTATTAAAATATATTTAACTGAAAATCAATTCAGACAAATAGAAATTCGCTTAGTCGGCAGGTTTGCTGCGGCGGGGGTATTTTTTTTACATGCTATTTAATTTACAATCTGTTCAACAAAAATAGAACCATAAGCAAATATGATAAAATTTAAACACACAGTAGTTAGTCTTTATCCAACAATAAAGCCAACACACTAACTTTGCATATTGGTACAAAGTTTAAAGTCCATAAATTTCTAAAACCGACTACTCAGGTCCAAAACACGGCATCTTTTCAATCTATATACACAGTTGCTGTTGTCCAACAAATTTAAAGCAATGTAGTTGGTATGGTACTCTAATTTAAGTATTTTGTACTTAGCCTTGAAATTTCTTCTTTGACCGTTGGGGTTCGACTGTCCCTATGGAGCACTTCGTTATTAACGAACCATGGTGCCTGGAGAATGTGCCTTAGAACCTTGGATTGGAATCTTTGGATGACGTTCAGATTTGATTCACTGGATGTCCCCCACAGTTGGATACCAGTTGGAGTCCATACTGGTTTTAGAATAGTTTTATATAAAAGTAATTTGTTTTCTGTTGTTAATTTATAATTTTGATTTAATAGCCAAGAAAGATTTTTAAATTGTAAATTTAACAAAATTCTCTTGTTCCAGATGTGGCTTTTCCAAGTGAGTCTTCTATCAAGGGTCAAGCCCAAGTATTTAACCTCATTGCACTGTGGGATTTGAACGTTGTTTAGGGTAACTGGAGGACACGTGTCTAATCTTGTTGTAAAGGTTGTATGGACTGATTTACTCTCATTCACTTTGATCCCCCATTTTTTTTAGCCAATCGGAGATATCATCCAGTCCAGTCTGCAACATTTGTGAAGCTATAACAGGGTTTTCATGAGAGGCTATAATAGCAGTATCATCAGCGAGAGTTGCAATTTCGACATTAGGATTTTCAGGGAGGTCCGCCGTGAACAATGTGTAGAGAACGGGGCCCAATACACTTCCTTGGGGAACTCCTGCTTGAATTTCGTGAAGTGGGGTAACAATATTATTAAGTTTTACTCTAAAGTGTCGATTGAAAAGGTAAGACTTCATGAGATTGAAAAAATGTCTGGGGAAGATTAAGTTTTAGTTTGTAGAGTAAATCAGTATGTCAAACTTTGTCAAACGCTTGACTCACGTCAATGAATACAGCAGAACAAAACTTCTTGGTCTCGATATCCTCTTTGATAATATCCACCACCCGATGAACCTGCTCAATGGCAGAATGTTCTTACCGAAATCCAAACTGGTGATTAGGAATTAAGTTCAACTCATCAATCACAAAACGAAGGCGCTTTAAAAGAAGTTTTTCAAAAACCTTTGAGGCAATGGGGAGGAGACTGATGTCGCTGGTTTGATTGGGAGGATTGTTTTAATAAGATTTACGTCTTAAAGGATATTAAGATTTACGTCTATACATGCATTGGTCATGTCATTTAACACAAAATACAGTTTCTTGATTTCAATAAAAAATAATAACTGTCTTATTTTTTTTTTAACTTACAGTAATAATACCTATGATCAACAGTTTTGATAGTTTTTTAGCCGCTGAATGATTAATTAGAAAATAAATAAACAAAAGGGAATCACCCAACAAATGGGCATCACATTGCACGGGACAACCATGGCTTCTTCGATGGAAGGCGGAGGGCTGCCGGCCGTCTACCACCACCACACACGCCCGCGTCAAGTTGCCACCCTGACAACCCACCGCCAATCTTCTTTTACGAAGTGGTGGGTTGTCGTGTACACCCAATCATAGATTAACCAACAGACACAAGTAGACTTTTAATCCCATTGTAAATTTTTATGCTCGTTTTTCGTGTCTAGTTCATGTCCGGTGACACCCTGATCGCTATAGTAACGACGAAATTTGTTCTATAATTTTAGTGTTAATTTTATGATTTGTAATTTACTTTTTGGTTATATAACCAGGTGGTTAGTTATTGCTTAAGATTAAAAAGTTGTATTTAACTAAACGAGGTTTTAAATTGCTGGAATATCAAGAAACAATATGTAAACAAAACACGATACTGTGTCTACATTGCACCGGATGGAACTAACAATAAAATTTGTTTCAGGTTGTCACCACGTCAACCGGCAACCTCAAACTTCTTTTTTTGGTGGCGGGTTGTTGTGGTTGCTCCTTGTCGTGGTTGCACCTTGATGCACTCCCGTATCCAGCAAAGCAGGGGATGATCCAAGGCCACATTATCTCCACGCCGCGGCCTGGTAGAATTGGAAACGTCGCAAGAAGGGTTGTTTGGTGTCATACGTCCCATTCTTATGGGATTAGTTTATTTTACTGTTAACATGGCAGACAGGTGACATCAGCTCATTAGTTCGAATTTTATTGATTAAAATATAAATTTATGAGCATAAATTTATTAAAATATTGAAAATAAAACATACAGAATTGAAAACAATACAATATGAATTGCAAATATATATATATATATAAATTAAGCGGGAGTCAATATTTTCATAGTCTAGTAACCAACAACCAAGCTTTCGCAAATACACAAATACTGTAATACCATTAGCTGCTTCCAAACAAAACAGCTGTTAACAACCCTACTTGCGACGTTGCCACCTTGAAGGCCGCGGCCTGGAGGTAAAGTGTAAAGTCGGCCGTGGATGAGCCGGTACAGTACAAAGATGAACTGTACTAATAAAAAGTAGTGACAGGATTCGAACCGACGACATCGCTGCCTTTGGGCCCGAAGTCCATGACGGCACCAACTAAGTCACCGGTTCATTTATAGGCCTATTTGTATTATTTGAGGCCTAAATCTATTTATATTGTCAATAATCCTGGGGCTAATGGTAAACAAATAAAACCCCTCTATCATTCAATACAACGTACTTTTTTTTAGGTAAAATCAAATAGTATTAGCAGTATCCATTGAGATAAATAGATTATAAAAAATAAATATTATTATAGCTCAGTTGCAGTATCACATAAAATATCTTTTTAAACATCTTGGTTGGCAGCACTGGTAAGGTTAAAGTTGCAACTAACTAAAAAACTAACTACTGTTGTATGTCATCGTGTTCAAACTCAAACAATTCTGAGTCCGCGTTTAGTTTCTACATTTTAAAATCTCACAAACCAGAAAGATTATTATTCGACATAAACTATTAATTAAGTTTCGTTATTGGCCTTAAAATGCCCAATATTAACTGTCTCACCGAAAGTTGGTTGGAGTTAGAAAGTGATCCAGGATTGTTTACATTGCTCCTAGAAGATTTTGGAGTTAAAGGTGTTGAAGTAGAAGAAATATACGACCTACAAAAATCTGTGGATAGTCCAGTTTATGGATTTATATTCCTTTTTCGCTGGATTGAGGAAAGAAGATCAAAGAGGAGAGGCGTTAAAAATGACACTTACGTCAAGGACGAAGACCTAGTAAATACAATATTCTTTGCAAAACAAATGATACCTAATAGCTGTGCCACACATGCACTCGTGTCGATACTGATGAACTGCGATAATATCCATCTAGGCAGTACTTTAAGTCGACTTAAATCTCATACTCATGGCATGAGTCCAGAAAATAAAGGATGGGCCATTGGTAATACACCCGAGCTTGCTAGAGCTCACAACTCACACGCCATACCTGAAGCCAACAGGCTCAAACAGTGCACCGGAACAAGTACAGGGAGGTGAGTACGTAGCATTTTCAGTTAAAAGCTAACTTATAATTAGGCTATTCATAATTTCTGATCAAAGTTTAGTCCTATAACACTTGCCACTTGCCTATTTAACATAAGCCAAAGCAATGTATGTAAGCCCGTCCAGCACATGACACATGAACCTACAAGCTTCCTGACTCTTATTTCCCTTGTATACGTAATTTAGGATCCAAATTAAGCACTAATCGTATATACTACATCTTAAACTGTCACCCTTTACCTTCATGGAAGATAAGTTAAGGAAAGGTATTTTTTTCAGTATAATTTTCCAATTCTTAAAGACTGACCAGTGGCGCAACAGACTTTTTTGGGCCCCTCTGCAAACTTATTTTTTGGGCCCACCTCGTATGAGTTATTATTAGACCACCATACAGCATAATCGAATGCCCTCTCCCTTTTCCCCAAAAGTTTTTTTACCACCCATACAACAAACAAGTAGCCTAAACAGATTCATCATTATTATATTGTAGTAGTCTAGTAAATAAATTATGGGCAATGTTCCATAAAAGGGTGTGTTAAGTATTTCAGTCATGGTTTGATGATAATGTTACATCACTATCATTATATCAATATCAATAATTATAAATAGATAAAAAAATACCCTATTTTTTACCCTTATCAGAATGTTTCATATCAAGGAGGTTTTATATTTGATTTATTACACATTTTTATGGGTCGCCGGAATTTTACCCCCCTGGAATTTTACCCCCTGGGCAAAGCTGACGTCACTATGACTAAGTAACCTGAGTGGCCAAAAGTTTGTTCGCGGCCGGAATTTTACCCCCGCGGATTTGGAAGTCTAATGAAAATAGTCAGAGCGTGATTAATTAGATTAGCGATAAAAACCGGAATTTTACCCCCTGTCCATATAACTAGCGTTTAGGCAACTGAAGATGTACGGGCCGGAATTTTACCCCCGGAATTTTACCCCCCGGCTGATTTTAGAAATTGAATGATTGATTTTATTATTTCTGTTTTTAATTAATTGTAAACATTTCATTATTTAGTAGCCTATCTTTATTTATTTATTTTGTAAAATTTCAACTAAGTAAACACAATTCGCTGTTTTATTTTGATCATATTAACCAACAGTTGGCTTCAAAGATCGAATCCTGACACTAGAATCTCAAAATTAATATTAAAACCCTGTTCTATTAGTTAATGTTACATATAAATTAAGATAGGCTACTTAATAATAAAATGTTTACCATTAAATTAAAACTGAATGACGATAATTAATCATTCTCACTAATTTATATCTGGCCAGGGGGTAAAATTCCGGGGGGCAAAATTCCGGGGGTAAAATTCCGGGGGTAAAATTCCGGGGGTAAAATTCCGGGGGTAAAAATCCGGGCCGTACATTCTAGGTTTTTATAATTTGATGTGTTCTGATTAAACTCACAACCGTGAAAATATATGTTTAATTCTGCGTTTAATCCATCGAGCTGATGTCGCGAAATTCAAAAGTTCGCGGCCGGAATTTTACCCCCTGGTTTGTGACGTCACGTTTGCCCAGGGGGTAAAATTCCAGGGGGATAAAAATCCGCTACCCCATTCTTATCAATTATCTATTGGGTTAGTCTTTATTGATCGCAATAATTAACTCATAGGCATACACTAAAAGTTGGTTAATTTAAAAGATTGGCATATACTTTTTATCACAGGCTAAAATAGCCTATTATATTTTTTTATTTGGTCTTTGTATGGATTTCAAGCGTTCACATTACAAACATATTTCTTTGTAGGCTATTGATTAAAATTGTGAGGTAAAATAAGATAAGACTAACAAACAAACTCAGTAGAGGAGCAATATATTGTATTTAACTAAATACAAATAACTTAATATTAGGGCAAAACTAAATTGTAAAATAATACAATATTAAAAGCCCCTGTCAACGTTCGACTACAGGCTCCAGAGGTAATGTTTCAAAATGTTTGTAGACATAAGCAGTGTACGAAAGCACAGTGAAGTAAAAATACTTCTCTGTGACGAAATTAAGATTGCATAATAATCAATAACCCTTGTTATAAAAGTTATATTTGTCACCTTAGTTTGTTATCACCGAATAGGCCTAGGAAAATTAAACGATAACAACATAATGTGATGTGGATAGCGAATGAGGACCTCTTGTCAGGAATTTTCAATTTTGAGTTTTAAACTTATATATATTTGAATTCCTTATTGAATTCTGAATCACTTCGTTCAAGTCCCATGCGTCTAGATGATTTTTTTTGTTAAAGGACTTTGAAATTGTGTTATGGAAAGGATAATTTTGAGAAAAACCATTTTGAAAATTTCAAATATGGATAAAATTTTTTTTTTCTAAGAAACAATGTTGGTTTAAAAAAAAAAAACGTATAATGTCCTCTTCGTAGGCAATACCACAGAAAACGTACTACTATACCCAGAATGCCAACCGCATGGTAAAAAGCATTAAGCGGTTTGAGAGAGCTTTGCCTGTCAATCCGTAGGCAGCGCCACCAGCGTTGCCATGCAATAGGGGTTATAGTAGTACGTTTTCCATGGCCCCCACATTTAATTGTGGGCCCTGTTACCAGGATCTGGCTCGGGCCCCCCTACCAACCGGGGGGTCGAGGGGGTATGAAATACCCCCCAGCGTAGAGGGGGGGTCCGAGGGTTCTCCCCCGGGAAAATTTTGAAAATGTCATGTATTTTAGTGAGTTTTTAAGGCAATCTAGGTATTAAATTTGTGAGTGGTAAATGGCACTTTTGCAGCCTTTTTTAGGGAAGAAAAGAGTTCTTCAATGAGTTTTACAAGACTTAAAATTACAGGAATTCAGCAATTAAAACTATTATATCAATACACAAAAGCTCCATGCCTATTAATATTTTGTCCTTTTTATTTCCCTGTAAAAGGGTTTGGCTATCTTAACTGCTATAATTGTACTTTGTAATATGGAGTAGGAAAAAAACTTACGTAAATCGAGTTTAACAGCTTACACCAATGAAATCATATTTTATTCAGTGACAATTTTCATCAAGAATTTTAACAATACTACATTTTTTGGGAGTGGATGCCTGAGCTGCCGAACTTGCGCGAGTAGTCACAGAGAAAAACGAATGTGCACGAGTAATGCCGAGAATGACCGATGCTGTCGATGCCGATGCTATCCAATCCATGCTTTAGTACAGTATTATACCGAGCGAATTGGGAAGAAAACTTAGGTCAAAATTATTAGGCCTACAATCTTTCATATTTTTAAAACTCCAAAAGTAAAGAATTTTTTAGATCTTCAATGGGGGGAAAAAATGGGTAGGCCCGGGCCCCCTGAGGGCCCGGGCCCTGTGACCAGAGTTGCACCAGCCCCACCCTTGTGGGGGCCATGACGTTTTCTGTGGCAATACCAATTTTGATCTTAACTCACAATAGTTTCAATTCAAATAATTGTTTTATTGAAGCATGTCGTAAAAATCACATTTCAGAAAAGGGACCTTTTGTTGGCCCTATGTTATTTCTTTATAAGATAAGAAAATCTACATCTTGTCAGGACCGCAAAATTTGTAGGATATTTTTTTCTCGATAAACTGAACTTTGTTGTAGTTAAAATTTCCACTAGAATGCAGGACAATTCATTTTTTTGACTAAAGTCTGTTTAAGTGAATATTAGAAATGGGACTTCTTGTCGTAATGGCAAAATAACATTGAGCGACAAGAAGTATCTTTTCTCAGACCGTGCAGAGGCAAACAAAATGATTTATTTTGACCTTTTACATCTTCAATTTGATATTTTAACCGATACTGTCCTGTTCTATGTTAAATGTCCTCTTCTTATAACAATAAAAAAAAAAATTAAATTTCGACATTTTCTAGCTTAATTACTTATATTGGCCGTACTGAAAATTTTGCATCACCAACAAGAGGTCCCATTTTGCTTTCCACATCACATATTATTAATAACATTAATGTTGTTACTTGTTCAATACAATTATTGAATGATTGATTGCACATTTCAATGCAATCTTTCGTCCCCCCTCGTCTCACGGGCCTCTCTGCTCACCGGTTTCCGCTCGCCGTTTCGCGAAGCCCCCTCAGCCACTGCCCCCCCTCGCATTGCAGGAACTGCAAGCCCTTCTGTTACGCCACTGGACTGAACATTGTAATTGGTAGGCCTACTGGTAAGCTTTGGACTCCACTGACTAAAATGCTCTAGACTCTCAATAATCCAATCCCAACAGTTTGTAGAAAGGTTAAAAAATATATTTTTTTTTTGAACAGTCAAATAAAAATTAAATTAAAATTAACTTAAGTTTACTGAAAGAACAAAACACAAAATAAAATAATACACCTACAACTAACTTACTTCCTCAGACTGCATGATATTTTTATCGGTGGTGGTAACAAAGGGAAGGTGTGGGCGCTTAAAGCCTAGATTTGTATCTTTTGAGTAAGGGGTTGTTATGAAACATAGATCTGCTACAGTGTGAAGTTGCACAGAGATGCCCATCCCTCCCAAAGCCGAGGTTGCAGAAGCTCCCCCTCCCCCCCCCCCCCCCCCGAATCATAGTTTAATCCATACTCACAAGGCCCTCCAGTTAAATTACAGGTCCCCAAAAATGTCTTTAATTACACTTAGAAAATATGGGATTGACTGAAGTCATAAACAAAACTCTAGATACCGTACTATTTATTTAAACGGAATTGAAAATCTTTTTAATCTCAAACATTATAAGTTTAATTATAAAAAGAGTTGGCCAAATGGTGGATTTAGAATTTTTTTTAATTTATTCACACAGTTTATTTATTATTATTTATTATTTATTCACATTTGTTTTTTTCTATAGTACAAATAGGCTGCCAAACAAAAACTATGTTTAGACTTTTTATGGCTTTGCCGGGACGTGCCATAGGACAATTACTCAAAAGTTGCAACGCTGTCATGTGTATGCAAAGGCTTACCTAAAGCGTATTACAATGCTCTCATGTGTACGTAGCCTTAACAATAATTAG